TAGTTGGTGGGTTTTTTTTAAAGGAAGCTTTTGCGAAGAATCTTGTGATATACAGTAATATTTATTATAATTAAGCTAAGTTAATGAGAGATGGTTTGGTCTAGTGGTTAAGGCAGCAGGTTAAAATGTGGGAGACCGAGTTCAAATCCTGCCTTAGCCATGAAAGCCAGCTGAGTGACTTTGAACTAGTCACTCACTCTCAGTCCAATCGGCCTCAGGGGGTTGTTGTTATGGGGAAAACAAGAGGAGGAAGGAATATTAGGTATGTTTGCCACCTTATTTGTAAAAATAAATGATACAAATGAAACAAATAATATTTAAAATTATTCATTATAACATTTTACAAGTGCTGGGAACTTTAAAAAATGATGCAAGGATATTAAAGTAGACTTGGATTCTCCTGTTTTTAGTTCAGCTTGTGATGCAATCATAGATGTAACATCTAAGTATTCAGTTGTTGGCCGCTTTGCAGAAAGACTGAACAGTCTTTTCAGCCCTGAGGGCCACATGTAATAATACATACTGTAGTTGGCTATTAATCTGGCCATAGATTCATGCCCAGTACTGCACCTCCACTTCTCAAGTTCAAGGGAGTATGGAGGCAATGGCTGCAGTAGTGTGGAAGAGAATTTGCATTGAGAAGACCCAGCAGAGGGTTGCGGAAGAGCAACTGAAAGATTGTGGGCTACGTAGCTTCTGCGGCAAAATCTTATGGTATGCTCTACAGCAGGGATGTCAAACTTGATTTCATTGAGGGCCATATCAGGGTTGTGTTTGACCTTGCGGGGCCAGGGTGGGCGTGGCCAGCTCGACATCACTCATGGTGGGGGCGCCTTTGGGGGTCTGAGCACTCTGCCAGTGAAAAACGGGCTCCTGAGCTCTGTTTTTAGCTGCAATGGCCTCCTGAAACCCTCTGCCAGCAAAAACGGTGCTCGGGAGGGCTGCCCATGGGGGCCGTCTGTTTTTTGCTGGCACTGCGGCCTGGTCCTTCACTGTTTCCAGGGTGACCCTCCGGGCCAGATGTAAGCACCCCGCACGCCGGATCCAACCCCCAGGCCTTGAGTTTGATACCCCTACTCTACAGCGTTAGAGCAGCAGCCTGATAAGCCAGTTTTCAGGATCTCCAAATTTTCATCCTTTCTGTTTTTCCCTTCTCTACCCATCAAGTCAGTTCAAGATTCATTGTTCCCTAAAGAGACTGATTTGATCAGCCTGGTGGGTAGAAGAGTTTTTCCCCTTAATTTTTAAAACTTTTTGTTGGTATTTATCCAGTCCTTGAAATTCTCTTAAACCCACCATTTTTTCCTTTGGTGCCACAAATAATATCATTTTGACTACACATGGTTCCGGAAAATTTAGCCATGAGTACTCAGCATCATGACTTCAGAAGCTCTGTGATATTTTATGAAGACTCATTTGTACTGCAGTAAAAGTGTTTTTATTCCGTCCATCTTGTTTCAGAGACTGGAAAGGGTGCAGAGTGTTTTCAGCCGAGCTCATGAATCACAATTGCTGCCAGCTTCCCTCTATAAACAGTGGGTAAGGAAGGATGTGGTCCTTGCCCTTGAAAAGCTCCTACTCACATAAACCGGAAAGGGTGGGTTTGGAGCTTAGAAATCCATTCCTGGAAGCAACCCTTCAGTGCTTATTTTGGTGTGGCGTCTTTTCAGATTCAGCTCCTGCTGGAACTCAGTCATGAAGACAAGGCCAGAGAGGTGGCTGCGGCAGCCACAAACCGTTTCAGCCAATTGGTGGATATGTGGGAAATGAGGCTGCAGTTGCTGCTGAAACTGAAGAGCAGTGAAGTGGCTGCTTGTGCCCAGGAGGCTTTCAAAGTGGTTAAAGCGAAGGTAGGAGCTCTCTTCTGCCCTTGAGTTGTAGGAAGGAATACTTGGAGCCTGGGAGTCCTTACTCACAAATGAAAAGCATCTGAAACTAGCCATAACAGTAACACTTATTGAGTCATTGACCAGCAAAGTTTACCAAATATACAACACCAAAGTCAAATCAATTGGGTGAGATTACCATCATAACAAGGAGTCTTATTAATAAAAGTGCAGCACGTTACTAAAATAATATGTAGTAATAAACTCTGCAATTCTAAAATATTACAAGTAAAAATGCATGCAAATAGTCCTCACTTATTGACTGCCTCATTTAGTGATTGTTCAAGGATATGGTAGTTGGGGGGGGGGGAGATTTTCAACTAGTCCGCACATCTTTGGTATCCTGCTGTCATGTGATTGCCATTCAGGCACTCTGCAACTGGCTTCCAACCAGAAAAATTAATAGAGAATGTGGAAGTGGAATTGCAAGTGGTGATCAAGTGATAGCTCACTTAATGACCTGTGCAATTTGCATAAAGACCAAATGTGAAGTAAGGTCATAAGCCATCGTGGTCATATAATTTTCTGTGCTTGGTGATAGAGTTGCCACTCCCAATTGTGGTCAGTAAACAAGGACTGTCTGTATTGTCTAAAATGAACTAACTAGCACATTTGCCGAATCTGCTTAGTGATCTGAAATGCTCTTTCCATTCATAAGATTAACTGTTGAGTGGCATTGACAAAGTCACATTTTACCACCTTCTAGGGAAAGATGAATTGATAGTGCTCCTGGTAGAGGTCAATGAAAGAGCTTTTTTCATTGGCTTCTTGCACCTAACAGTGGGCTGTCCCACTGTCCCTAGTGGCCGGTATGATACCTGCTTATGCTTGTCCACAGGATAATGATCACTTGTCATCAAGGCCATGGCATTCCAGTGTGGCAACACCTTCCAGTACTATTCCAGTTGCATTCCCCACACCTCTTATCTTTTAAAGATCCCTGAGATAAACCATGGAAATAAGCTAATAAGATAGCTCATTTTCTGAGTTCCCCTTTTGTTCCTTTGAAAGCTTTTTGCGTAGCCTGTGTAATGGAGGACTTCACTTATTTAGTCCGGTCCTTTTTAATAGGAGAGGCTCCTTAATTTCATCAGTATATTTTCTGATAGACTACAGGTAGCCCTCAGTTTACAACAGTTCATTTTGTGACTTTCCAAAGTTACAGCGGTACTGAAAAATGTGACTTATGCCTGTTTTCCATGCTTCCAACCATTGCAACATCTCCATGGTCACATGATCAAAATTTAGATGCTTGGCAACTGTCTCATATTTGTGACGGTTGCAGTGTCCTAGAGTGATGTTTTTTGTGACCTTCTGACAAGCAAAGTCAATGGGGAAGCCAGATTCACTTAACAACCGTATTACTAACTTATCAACTGCAATGATTCACTTAACTGTGGCAAGGAAAGTCGTATAATGGGTCAAACTCACTTAACAAATGTTTCACTTAGCAACATAAATTTTGTGCTTAATTGTAGTCATAATTTAAGGACTACCTGTACTTCAAGAATTTTGGTGCCTTTTAATTTTCCTGTCACTAAATTTGCCAGCCATTCTCCAGTCTCACATTATTACAGGTATTTTATACAACTCATATCCAATATTTTCTTCTCCTGTTTTTTTATTATTATTCCTCCTTGTAGGATACCTTGCCACTATGGAATTTATGGCTAGAATGGAGTGAAGGTGCAAGCAGCAAAGCAGAGACTGAAGCCCTCTATCAGGTATCATATTTTTCATTAAAAATGAATCATACTGTGAAATTAATTTGGGAAAGAGAGTAAGTATGGTTCCACCATTATTTCAAAAATTAATTTTAGAACTAATGATGTCCTGTGCATTAAAAATGAATATATTGCAGGATATAAAACTATCATATAAAATCATATCTGTAGTCAGAGGCTGTTGTAATGCTGAAAACGTTTTGCTGAAAATATATACAGCCGTGGTGGCATAGTGGTTAGAATGCAGTACTGCAGGCTATTTCTTCTGATTGCCGGCTGCCAGCAATTTGGCAGATCGAATCTCACCAGACTCAAGGTTGACTCAGCCTTTCATTTCATCCTTCCGAGGTCGGTAAAATGAGGACCTTGTTTGTTGGGGGAAATATGCTCATTCTGTAAACCACTTAGAGAGGGTTGTAAAGCACTGTGAAGCGGTATATAAGTCTAAGTGCTACTGCTATAAGATTATAAATGGTATCCTGAAATGGAGTAACATAAACATATTGAAGCATAGTTTTTATTTACAAATGAATTGTTTCAGAAGTATTGGTTGTCTTGAGTTAACAAGGGTAATTAGGACCAGAATTTCTATTGCTAAGCAACACAATGGTAAAGCACAATGTTACATGACCATGCCACTTAGTGATGCAGTTCCATTATTTCCGGTCACTGTTGATAATTGAATCCCAAGCCATTGTTTAAGTGTGATGTCTCGTGATTGCAGCTTGGAACCTGCTGGCTTCCCCATTGATTTTGCTTGTTGGAAACTGGTAATTAAAGTTGCAAATAGCAAACACCTGACCATGGAATGCTGCAACATTCTAATTGCAATCTGATTGTCAAGAACCTGGATCTCAATCATATGACCACAAGAATCTGATACAGCTACAACTATGAGGACCTACCCTAAGTTCCCCTCATTTTGCTCCATTATAACTTCAAAAGGTCACTGAATGAGTGGTTGTTAAGCAAGGGCTGTTTGTAGACTCTCCAGAGTAGGCTTACTAAACTATATGAATAGGAGATTGCCAGCCTATGTATATCCTTTAGCCGAGTCAATAGATCCAATTTGGTGTGGGTAATTATCACAAGGAACAAAGTAACCGATCTTCTTGACTTCAGCTTCAAAGTCCACTGTGGATGCTTAAAAGGTTTGTATCATTTAATGGACTTCAAAATCATTTACATTTAACCGGCAGAGATCTTTCGTTGCCACACTTCCTGCTGACTCCATAGCCCTGAAAGAAAAGTACCTTGAATGGGCTCATAGGACCGGTGGCTATAAGAAAGCAAAGCAAGTCTTCACCAGGTTAGGACATTTCCTTTTGAAAGCATTATTCAATCACTTTTTTCTATACTCTTCCATCCCCATTTATTATTAAAACCAGGTGCCTTACCCCATTACTTCTCTCATAGGCTGCAGGAATGCCGCCCATTTTCACTCCAGTTTTTCAAAAAAATGATTCAGATCGAAAAGGAACAGGTAAGTAAAGAAGTATTATGAACGAGTGCAGGGATCTATTTCTTGGTTGTGTTAGTCATTATGAAATATATCATTTTCTCAGGTACCATGTGTTTTAATTTATGTATGGTTGCATTTTTATTTTAAATTTGTTTGCCACCTAGTCTCACGAGATGGATAGCTAAACAAATCAAATGAATGAATAACAGTGATATTTGTGGAAAATTTACCAATTTGATAGCACAAATAAATGAATGAATGAATGGTGTGCAATATTTGTAGAGGTATTTACCAATGTGAGGTTTCTAATGGAATTAGTATTTTTTATTCTGTAAAAGCATGCTCTGCTAGGACTGGGCCACAGTAAAATACTTGAGCTGATTTTAAAAGCCACCTGGAAATAGTAATCCTTAATGTTACAGGGAGATTACTGGTACATGCCCAGTTTTTTGAAAATCCATAGTTGCAGAAGTGAGTTGCTCCCGGTTTAACCTGGTTCAGCTGAACTGGTAGTGGTGGCGGGAGGCTCCCCCATCCGTCCAGACACTTCTGTGCATGCAAACCAAGCAAACCGGTAGTAAACTGGTTAGCAACCCACAATTGGCCTGGATTGTTCGCATGCAAACTGCTCGAGGGAAGTGGGAAGGAATCCCCAAAAAAGATTTATGTATCAAGGCAGCCTAAAGTTTCAAAAGATGATTCAGATTGCATGACAAATGTGTTTTATTCCAGTCATTTTATTGTTAAGTTCAGCATGTGTTAAGTTCAGCATGGTAACCACCCACCATTTTTTAAAGGAATCCAGTAAAATATTTAACATCCGAGAATATTATGAACGTGCCTTGAGAGAATTTGGTGCTACAGAACCTGGTAAGAATTTTTACTTGTTGGTTTCTAAGACTATTCTCAGTTGTCTTTCTGTTATAACTGTGGCAATCACCTAATTCTTTCTGCTAAAAGATATCAAGTCTCCCAATGTACCAAGCAGAGCTTATTGTGGCAGTTGCTGATTTTCCTTTCTGTCTATCTTGGAATTCTACAGAATACTGTGTAGTTGAAACATTCCATCATTTTTTAAATTCTATTCAAAACATTAAAATACAAATTCCAAAAAGAAATAAAAGGAAAAATACAAAAGCAAAGCAAAACAAGACTACATAAAAATGTGCATGAAAAACTCCAATACATATACATAAATTGTCGCCCCGCCCCCCGTTGAATACTGATATATTTCAGAGATAATAACTCCTCCCCCTTTGTGAAGCAGACACACCATTTATAAATGTCTACAATTTACAACCCATTTGGCCTGACATCTATCTACTATATGGAAACATAGTTAACATATAAAAAAAGCAGCCAAATTTCAAAACCCCCTGTTAACAGTCCCTTATTGTAATTTATATGCAGAAAGTCCACAACAGCTTCTGATCTATCATAAGTCACCACAGTCATTGTCTCTGATCCGTCCAGGATCATTCTACAGAATACAGTGTAGTTGCAACATTCCAATCAAATACATAGGCAATGTGTTTTTTGCCCTGGGGAATCGCCTCTTTTGTAGCATTTCCTTTATTCCAGTTGTAACTGATTATTTTTTTTTGAAGATCTTTGGCTGGATTACATCAAAGAAGAGCTGAATCATTCTCAAGGCAAACCAGAGAATTGTGGCAGTATTCACTGGAGAGCTATGAAAATATTGCAGGGAGAACAAGTGGAAACATTTATTTCCAAGTATACATTACTGCAAGCTGGGCACCTGTGAGAAATTATTTTTATTCTAATGGCAAATTATCCTGTTTGCTAATCTAACAACTGTGGAAACTCTTGGCTTTAAATTGAGTCAGGTGTATAATAGATGTTCCCTGGATAAATTACTTGCTCCTAAATAATTGCCTAACATCCGTATTCTCTCCACATTACTGGAGTTAACAGAAATGTAAGTTTTAGATTTTAATTAAAATACATATAAATATACTTTCAAGGAAAGTGGAAGAACAAACTTAATTTTGAGTTTATTTTGCTACTGTTTTGTGATAGGATCTGTTTTTATTTTATATTATTGTGATAGAACTGGATTTCATTCTGGCTAGTGAATAGAAATTAGTTGTCTGCCAAACGAATGTAAATAATCACATGTAGATTGTTCCAGGAACATGTAGTTTTGGGTGGTTTGTGTAGAAAGCAAAACATGCATGCTTGGTCCAGATGCAAACTGAAATATAGTTGTTCTAGACAAAAGTATTTTGGTGCATTTCGGGAGGAAGATAGAACAACCAAAAGCCTTACTGAAGTTAGGCTAATTTGTATCAAGTTAGGCACATTTCTTTAAAAAACAACAACAATGCATATACATTATGTACAGATTCAAAATAAAAATCTGAATATTTCAAGTGTAAAAGTGTGGACATCATCTCTTTTAGGTTGGACATTTCAGCCATACAACAATCTGAAACTTCCAAAACAAACAACAAAGCCTTATAGAAAATAAATATAAAGGTTCTGGAATTGTCTTCCATGCTTGCCAGACTTAACTATTATTAAGACTGAAGGAAAGTCTCAAAGGCATGCAAGGGGCTCTGTGAAAGATACTGCAAAAGAAAATGGAGAAAAATTGCCTAAGCAAGAGTAGCTATCTGTAGAAAATATTTAATAAGGAAATGCTATAAAGCAGGGGTGTCAAAGTCACGGCCCACGGGCCAGATGCATCATGTGCTGGCTTTGCCCCTGCCCGGTTTAGCAAAAGGGGAAAAAGTCCTGATGTGTCATGTGATGTCACCGTGATGATATGAGTTTGACACCTCTGCTATAAAAGATGACTAAAAAGTGGGTCTAAATTTTTCTCCTGGATATCTCTCAGAAGTTCTTTTAAATATTCAGAATCTACCTAGAACTAAAAGAGATCATCATCTGAACGCAGTCCAATTGCTGTGACTAAGATCTGGAGTGAATTTAGTAGATAGTAACCTGGAAGAAATATGGAAAGTGGTAATCAGTTAAGAATCATCCATTTAAACATTCATATAATGTGAACACTCAGATATTCCTTCTGGCTGACATTAATGTGAAATTTGAGAGATGTCTTCTTTCAACTGATAACATAAACAACATGCTGGTTCCAATGTTTTCTTTTTCCTTTACAGGCAAATCAAAATGATTTAAGCACTTAAAAAAAAATCAATGAACAATCTTTACAAGTTGTTGTCATCAGGCAATTAGTGAATGATCAGTACTAGAAAACCCATGCCCCATTGCATCCTTGTTTCAGAGGTATTTCCTTATCCAAACACAAACAGAATGACACAAGAGCAGACAAAAAAGCCATGGGTGCCAGTGTGACTTCCTCTCTGAATTTCTTTGTTGGGAATTAGGCAGGGGGCATTTTTTCCTGGAAACTATTAATGGAAAATGGAGATCAAGTGATCACAGCAACAGTGCAGCAACAGTCAGTAGGACTGAAACAGTCATAGTTTCCCTAAATTTCATTCTCTTAGGAGTCATGGGTCTCATATTTTGGACACATTCTGTAAATTAGCCCATTTGAAGTATTTTGGTTCAAAAATTGTTGCCTCGTGATGCACTGTTTCATCCAGTTAAAGGTCATGACAAGAGCTTGAGTAGTATGTAGATCGGGGTGTCAAACTCATGTTGTCATGTGACATATCAGGACTCCCCCCCCCTTTGCTAAATTGGGCTGGGTGGAGCCAGCACATGATACATCTGGCCTGCGGGCCACAAGTTTGACACCCCTGATATACATAGATTATCAAACCGACAGTGTTTTATTTAACTGGATTCACACATCACAAAGCAAGAATCAAATCCATTGTGGCTTAATCCAGTTTGTAAATTAGTGACTGAGTTCATACTTTGGCTAAGCTTGAAGTCTAAAACCCCACAAAATAACTAATTTGCGAAAAAACACCAAAAATCACCTTTTACTGTAGCATGATGGATGAATTCAAGTCATAACCCCTTTTGTGCATTTGAGAGAGCTGCAGGTAGTTTCTTTTGGGATAGACTTATAGTAGCATTTAACCTTGATCTGAGAAGTCAAATGGCCCTTAGAAGCAGTTGGGCGTATACTCTGATATTTTGTGACCTGATTTATAAATTCTAGTTGACTGAGGTTATATAACAATCTAGTCAAAGTTCAGAGGTACGAAGTTGAATAAATTATTTAATACTCAGAAATGCTCATTTTTCAAAGATGAACCTGACATTGAAAACAAGTTTCTGATGTTAACATTCTGAAGTCTTCCCCCAATGTAAAAATTAGGTTTTCAGAGCTTCCTGGCCTAAATCCTCATTTTGATAGCCATTTACCTCACAAACAGACATCTCAGTTTAACAATCTTGATTACTTATTTCAAATAATAAGTAAAAGTATACATACATACATACATACATACATACATACATACATACATACATACAAGAATATGCTTTATTACTAAGAAATAAAGACAATTCTTGCCTAAAATTTCTATCTTGAATTATTTTCCCACTCTTGATTTCTATCCCTGATCAATTATTTGTGATTATTTGAAATAAGTAATCAAGATTGTTAAACTGAGATGTCTGTTTGTGAGGTAAATGGCTATCAAAATGAGGATTTAGGCCAGGAAGCTCTGAAAACCTAATTTTTACATTGGGGGAAGACTTCAGAATGTTAACATCAGAAACTTGTTTTCAATGTCAGGGTTCATCTTTGAAAAATGAGCATTTCTGAGTATTAAATAATTTATTCAACTTCGTACCTCTGAACTCGACTGACTTTGGGCAGCTTACAATACAAAGAAATATAAAAATAACCATTTGCATAAACAACAAGCAAAAGATGAACATGGTCCACACATGTATCAAATATCAGGCACTCAGCAGAGATCCAATTGTCCTAGCCTAGCACCCGAGAGCACATAAAAGGCCACTTTTGTTGTTGTCATATTTGAGGAAGCACAGCTGGCACCAGCTGTTTTATTGGACATGTTTCACCTTCAAATCAAAGATCCCTGGATGGATCTTTATCTTACAGGTAACACCAAGGAATTGGAATTTTCATACATTTTCTCTTTAGCCAAGGTATTCTCCCATAAGTAATGGAAAGATGGTGATGCATAAAATGAAGTTCAATTCACTAACCTGCTTTTCTCCAACACACACACACACAAAATTCAGGGGATGATAGGATTCCTTTGCCTGCATTCTTGTTTAGAAAAGGGGATTTCAGTTAACAAAAGCCTTTCCTCCTGAAATCCTCTCAACCATTAAGTTTTTGAATGCATCCATAGGCCATGATTGTTCTACTGATACAGATACTTCAATGGCCAGGATTGGCACTCTCAGCCCAACTCAGCTGACAGGGTTGTGGGGGAAATTGGAGTAGGATCTACTACAGGTAGTCCTGGATTTACAACAGTTTGTTTACTGACTGTTCAAAGTTACAACAGCACTGAAAAAAATGACCATTTTTCACATGTACGACCAGTGCAGTATCCCTAAGGTCACACAATTTACATTCGCACAAACGATTCATATTTACAACGGTTGCAGCATCCCGGGGTCCCGTGACCACCTTTTGCGCCCTTGATAACCAAAGTCAAGCTAATAAGCCAGATTCACTGAACTACCATGTTAAACCAATTTACAAAACTGGCAGCCATTCCCTTAACAAACGTGGCAAGGAAAAGTTGTAAAAAAAACGGGATTAAACTCAACTCAAACCAATTTCTCACTTTAGCCCCATAAATTCTGGGCTCATAAATTGCGGTCGTTAAGTCTAATTCTTTTGCTTGGTACTGCACGTTGGGCCGTCTATGAGTTGTGTACGAAAGAGGGCGGGGGGGGGAGGAGGAGGAGGAGGAGGAGGCGGGATTTAAATAAATAAATAAATGGGCTGCGGCAGGCGCGCGCCAAGTCAAATTGACCAGGCCGACGGACGGGGCGCAAAGCTTGGGCTGCCCACGGGAGCCTCGTCTTGCCCGAGTTTGCTCGTGGGAAGGGAGGAGAAGGAGGAAGGTCTGCTTAAGGTGGACTGACGGGGGCGGGTGAATCGGGACAGCCCCGTCTGCCGGGCATGGAGACTGCCGCTCCTCAGGGGCGTAGCCTAGATTGCAGGGTGAGGCGGGAGCCCGCGTGAACTGGGGAGGGGACGGACGGACACGTTTCATGGGCGCGAGGGCCGGAGGATTTGTCGATAGCAGCCGATGAGCGGAGTTGCAAGTTAGCCGCCGTGGGGGTGGGGGAGGAGAAGAGCTTTGCTTCCCAAGTTAGGAAACGCGTTTTAGAAACCGGTTCAAAATGAAACACTTATCCTTCAAGGGAGAACGGCGAGGCCGCTTTATATAGCGCCCTTGACTGGGAAGCTGCGTAGATAATGCAGATATTTACCCACTAGATACGAGAGTCGGTTTGATGGCATTTCAAACTCGTGCTTTCGAGTTGATGCTTCTGTACTGACGAGGTTTATTTTTTTTCAAGCAGTCAGGTCGTCGTCAAACTCAGGAATATGCGTTATATGTTAACGCTTCTTGCTAGGTAACGAAGCGCAATGACTGAAATTAAAATAGAGCGTTACTGGGCTGTGTGTATGTGTGTCAGGCGACCGTTTAACGCTATCCGTGACGAGTGGAATTAATTAAATTCGAAGCACGCTTATTTCACTAGGAGTTTGTTGTTTTTAAATGCAGTGGAAATGCTGCGTGAACTTTATTGAATAAGATTAGGCAGCCATGTATCTTTCCTGAGGTAAAAAAAAAAGGTTTAAGGACAGCTTTCCCCATTCTGGTACAGTAAGTCTCCACCTATGTTGGACTACAACTCTCATAGGTCTGTCACCAGGAAGGCATCCGGTTGAAAAATATGCATTAAGGGATCAGATCATCCTCCTTCCAAGCAGTGGCTGAAGAAACACTGCCATGCTCTGT